TTTTTTTTTCTGTATTTTTGATCAAATAAATGCAGCCTTGATGAGCAGAAGAGACTTCTTTAAAAACATTACAAGTTTTACTGACCCCAAACTTTTGAACGGCAGTGTGTTGTATAGTGACGAAGTGCATCTCAAATCATTTAATAAATATTTGTATCATTTATATCTTAATATTCATACAAAATAAAATGGTTGTTTACAAATCAGCCACTCTATAAATATAAACTAGTTTTTAAACCAACACATTCATTTCCAGACTGGTTTACTGCTTTAATCATTGTGTTGCATTGCACATCCAAATGCATTCAAACACTCAGGAACAAATGCATAAGAAGCCAAACACATCTGCTTAATTAAGACAGTCAGACAATCTGTATATGATGTTTTATGTATTTTAATCTCTGTATACATTCATAACATTATATGCATTTCATTGTAATAAATTAGTATTTTCATTATAAATATCTGTGTGTGTGTATATGCTGTACACTTTTGCTGTTTTCACTTAATTAAAACTCTTATTCCCCAGATATACATATATATATATAATATATATATATATATATATCAAGATTTTATTTTTAACACAAGAGGCATCTGTAGTTTGAATGTGCGAGGCTTCTGGCGTCATTCGAATCCAGTTATTTTACCAAAAAGAGTTCAATATTGCAAACTGCTAATTGTTATCATATTATTTGAATTGCTTGTCGTAAGCACACTGGTTTGTAGCACAAACACTACACACACACACACACACACACACACACACACACACACAAGTTCATGTACGTTGTTTGGCATGAATAAAGATAAAAAGTCAGTCTTGAACATCCCACACTGTCTCTCGGAGACACACATGAGCCATTTATAAAATCCTTATCCACAAAATGCTTATTGTAAAATAACAACGTCGTCTTGGAAATCAAAAATAAATAATGTGAAGTTTTGTCATCAACCGGCTGTCTCTGTTGCCATGGTTACCTCTAGAACTGATGTCTATTTGGTACCAGGAGAAATTAAGTAACATTTACTCTTACTAAGACATTTTAAAAAAATTATGTTGGATATTAATATGTAGAATTACAACTGTTAAGTTCATTGTAAAAACAAAGCCGTGATTTGCGCCCAGTTTCAATTCAGAACGAATTGTATCCGTTTGTTGTTGTTGTTGTGGCGCTTCTAAACTAGCATTTAAGGTATTTTAAAAGCAACAGCCCAAAATCTATTGGTCCTTTAAACGGTGACGTGCTTCACTAGGAAATGGCCAAGTGTTTTGTGAGATTTGTGTAAACACTATTGATGCGCGCTCGGCATTCACCGAAGGAACGCACCAGATCGGATTCTCTGCCAAACGAGCAGCATCTAAATCACGAACCACAGACTTTATTCGCCACTTAAGCGACTAGAATGTCCGCATCGGTGGATATCCACGCGCAGCTGGCGTCGATCCTCGAGCGCTTCGCCAAACGCGCGCTGCTGGAGATGAGCCGCGCGGTGGAGCAGGAGATGACGCGCCGCCAGATGGAGACGGAGACGCTGCTGGTCAAGCTTCAGTTCACCGAGAGCGAGCTGCGATCAGCGCGACAGAGCCAAGCGAACCTGCGCTCCGTGGGAATACAAGTCAACAACAGCGGACAGAGAGGTACGCGTAACTCCAGACACACCGGCGATCGTTTAAACTCAACGTGACGCTGAGCGTTTTCATCTTTAATCGTAATATAACAACTTGCGCTTCCGCTGAAACGACTTCATGTCGCTGCTGACGTATGCAAGGC